TTTTTTGCAAACAGAGTGAATGGCAACTCTCGTATGGTATTGGGTATATGATTGTATACTAAAGATGTCATCATATTGCAATTTTTGTGGCTTTAGTATAATAGCACTGTAGATTATAAACTGATAAAGAAAGAAAAAACCAAGGGAAGTGGATATTAGTTTTAAAAATAGTGATTCAATGTACACTACCAATGAATTGCAAAAGTTACACGTAAATTAAGAACAAGATTTTTTCTACAAGTATTTTAAAATATATGAAAATGTATTTTTCTATTTCTTACTCTTCAATAGGGAATGATTACTAATTATACCATGCTGTTGAAACCATGAATATTGCCAACCACGCCAGCATTTATCAAGTAAAGCCTTCACCATAAAAAGCTCTTTTCGGATCGTATTTTCGTAAAACAATTTTAACTGTAACATCCACCAAATTATTTGGTGTCTTAAAGGAATGAATATTGAGCCGCAAATTGCTAAGCAACAATCTAAATGACAGAATGAATCGCTTAATTTCGGTATCTTACGCGAGAGACGTCACATCTTAAACGTTTTGATGACGTCATAAAAACCTGGCCGTTATCAGGCGCACGCCCTACATAAATCAGTGTGTTATATGCATTAAGTAAAGTGAACTTTGTTCGGGTTTTAATAAGGATTTGTTTTGTCCAAATGAATCTTTTTTGGGTTAAAAAAGCGTGCTCGCTCAAACTCGCCTATAAAACGGTTACCATGTGAATCACGCCGTGTAAAGACGTTAAAAAGCGTACGCGAATGTTTTGATGATTTATCTCAGTTGTATCTACGTTTACTCCTGACGATGAATGAATTCTCTCGGTTTATGATAACAATTTAAGTTGAAACGCCACAGTAGTTACTTTTGAATGCAAAAAGATGGCGCTGTTGTTACAGTTTGCTGTTTTTATCATAAGTAAATTTTTCCTTTTTTATTAAAAGATCATTTCGGCTCGTAGCATAATACTGGCGTAATCAATTACGGACATCTATTTGAATATTTATTTACCTTTATTCAAATTAATTATATAGTAAGAGGAGCTCGATGGCACAGTAGCTAGCGCTCTCGGTCTGCGGTACGATTAGTAAGCAACTTTCACAATGCCCGAGCTTAGGATGGGCGACCAAAAATTTACTATCTCAAACTCCTCTGTGCTGTATTTCACCTACGTGAAGATATGCCATACGTGGGTGCTATAAGCTTGCGAAGTCGCAGGAAAACAGCTAGTATCGATATAATAATCGCCAGTATAAGGTATTAAGATTTTAAACAGGAGGAACCAAAGTACTTGGCGTATGTGTGGTAATAATAATCACACCATTTCACGTTTGGGATACCGAAATATATGTAAATCAGCTCCTTTATCATGGGGCACATGAGGTCAGGTCACAGTGTCAGCATCGAGCGATTTTTATGGTTTGATGTTTTACAAGATTTTCACTTATGTTTTTCGGTTCTCATACATTTTATAGGTTTAATGGTCCTCCAGTTAAATATAAACAGATGCACATGACATTTGGAAAGTACAAATATTTGACTTATTTTGAAAAAAAAAAAATTCTTTATACATAATAAGCACATTACATTAGTATTTTGGAGAAATTGAATGTATTTATCAATAAAAATAAAAATTAAAGTTTAAATTACTGAAACTCTGTGTCTGTCGTACGCCGCCATTACATTATAACATTACAACTTTGATAAAATGTCAAAGTTATTTGATTTTATTTTGTGTAATTTGCAAAAATTATACAATATTTTGTTTAAAATAAAGTGAAATAATATTAATATAATTTAAATTGCCAAATACTTTATTATTTTATATTTGATACCTTGAAGCAATTTAAATTGCTTCAAGGTATCAAATAAGTTTCGGTACTATAAAATTTAAAAAAAAGTTGCATAGTGCAAATAAATTATCATAAAATTAATAAATAAAAATCATAAAAACAATAAGTTTTCATTAGTCTCACCGTTACGCATTATTTCTAATGTGCTTCCCGCTCCGCTCATGAACTCGCCAGCGCTCGGACTCCAAATTGATATTTATGTAGACGCTTTACGAGTCAATCGTATGAGTTACGTTTGATGTTATTATGCGTTCCGTTTTTATGTTACGTTCATTCGGTAACCGTCACGGAATAAACTATTTTTGGACGATCAACGTGCGATCGTAAAACGAAACGCAGCATTTGGTGTCGCATAGAATTTTACGAGGAAATAAGTCGTCCATTCCTTATTTTTTACTCATCCTTTCCAGGGTTGCTTTTTGGAGATTTCTTAGATCACTTTAAACTTTGTCCCATTATATATTGAGCTATTTGTGACAGTTTTATATAATCATGCATATTTATTTATGTCAGAACAACGAAGCAATTATTTAGACAGATCATTTATTGTATCGAAAGGTTTTAAAATTATGTAAGCCAAACATGAGCCTCGTAGAGGCATTGGCATACATTCATTGAAATTAAAAAAAAGGTACATAATTCAATTAACAATTAATTCGATTAATAGAAAAAAAAAATCAATGAGACCATACATAGTTATAAATAAATGAAGTCACGAACTAACAAACAATAAATAATATCAATACAAATTCTTTATAATAATCAAGAGTGTTATAAATGACGTTATAATTAAATTAAATGACAAAATAAATAAACCAATTTCTTTCCATTCCTCAATGTTAACTATTCTTAAAGGCATTTCGATATTAAATTTGAAATTTTGATAATAAATATGTCTTAGTTCAATGTAAACAAGATTATTTGACTAGGAAGTTTGATAAATATTACAATACTCATATAATATACGTTTCTTCTCACGATTTCTAAATAAGTGTGTGGTAAACTTCATTTTGCAAGTAAATTATAACTATAGTTGTCAACTAGACTAAAGAATGGGATTTAACTAATTTTTAATGAAGTTTTCCGTGAACGACTGCAGTGGAACATGGGCTGGTGTAATAAGTATAATAATAATGGTGTGTTGTGCATCTACAGTTGTAAGTGAAGGCAGCCCTGTGATATCCGTGAGTGAAACAATAAATATTCCCCATCCGTCAAAGTTCAAAGGCAGTGATTAACTTATAAAGTGTGCCATACCGTCATCAGTAGGGTCTGCTATAGCCGAACGGCACGCCAATAATATACCCTACGTGTTTTGGTGTTCTTTACCTTAATTGCATTGCCTATACCGAATGGGAACGGAGGCCCTACAGATCAACTTCATTATTTAAAGAAAATAATGATATATTAGGCACTTTCTTGTGCGTTGTCCACTAACAAACAAAAGCACTTACATACCTAACTAAGCTCTGCAACATTTAAAAACCAGTGTATCAGATTTTACCTTATATTTATAAATTTTATAAAAAAAAACTATTATAATTCTCTAAAAGTGATATTAATAAAATTAAGGAATTTTAAGTTTCATTTCCACTGCATATTCGGCGTATTGTGATAAAAAAATGCACAAAGGATGTAATGATGTTTTTAATAATACACCATATATTTAGTCGTTAATTCATTTTAAGTTAATAGCGGAATAAAGAAAAAGTCATCATATTAATATTAAACTTAAATACAATACAATGTGCTTTGGGCAATCGGGTTAAAATAGACTATATATTTTTTTTCATATCAATAATTTTCATACTTTCCATTTGAAAAGTCACGCCAAAGCATTTTTTCTTGGTTATAAATGTTAAGAAATGGCGTCCGTTAAGGAATACTAATTAATGTAATACGTCAAGTTACTGCAGAGGAGTCTTGTTAGGGTACTTCTTAACTTGGAGACGACAGCTTAATTCGCTTAGAAAGCTTAGGCTCTACTTAGGAGTTTTAATAGATTTCGTCTTTCCAACTTGACTCTATTAGTAACAGTTTACAGTAAGCATTACTGACTTTTAATGAGTTGTTTATTTGTAAAATATTTATTAAGGATATTACGAAATAAATTTTTATTAGATAATTTTGGTTTGATCAAGTTGGTAAGGGAAGTACATATATGTTATACGATATATGACTATTGTCGCTATACTAATATTATAAATGCATTGAATAGACTTTTCAAAACACCTGAAGTAATTTCAGAAATTATTTTATGTATAGGAAGTTACGCGGGAAAACAATTAGTTGAAAATATTTTTACTGCAACAAAGACAAAGGAAAAACCATATTAAAAATCGAATTAGATTTGCAAATCTATTTTAATCTTAGGTGTATAATTAAAATATATTTGAAAATTTATTATTATTTAGAAAACAAAATATTTTTAGATATAAATATTGTAAATTTATGAAACTAATTACTTACGCTATTTTTGGAACGTGACAAAAAATATAAGCTCACAACCCTTCTCTATTAAAGGATTAAGAGAATTAATCAAAAATTCAATTTAAAAAATCCGGAATTCAATCAGTTTGACCCCTTTGCTTTTAACAAGACAATGACTTCTTTTTTAATTTATTAAGATTAAGAAAAAAGGCGGAAATTGGATCCCTTTTAATAAAGATTTTATGCATCCAAAAACATCTTATGTTTTTGCCATCATATTCTTTATTTTTTCCCATCTTGAATTCCAATTTGTCTATTCAAACTATATTTAAAAATCAAACGAACTTATCTTGTTAAGTTTGATATCTAATTATACGAATGTTTTGACTGAAGATGATTAGAGATTACATGTAACAATGCACGAGATGTTGCTGTCCTTGCCACAGTTCAAAAGTTATTTTAAAATTTTTTATTTAAGTAAAAGAAACTTTATTGACTACTTACCCACTTTTTGGATATGAATGGGATAGTTGGGAGTCTAATAATTTTCACTCAATACATTCGTATAATTAGATAATAAACTTCACCAGGTAAATTCATTTGATTTTTAATCATACTTCTCTCCCGAAAATGGTTAAGGATCACATGCAGATGTTCAGAACATTGAAAAATTTTACCAAAATAAAGAAGCGATCTGATTTCCTGTAAAGTTTTATATTTGAATCAATATTAAGGGTGAATTATGCTCATTACAGAAAATAACTTATAATTTCCGATTTAAATATAAATAGCAGCTTATTTTTTTTTCGCTAGACATTGTTTCTTTTCACATGATGGTAAAGTATCGTTTGGGGTATTATTATCAAAACATTTAATTAAAAAATACTGGTCGCTTTAATGTTGGTCTAATTTTAATGTTTATATATGACTTTAAACCAGTCGAAGAATGGAGACACTACAATGTTTAATGATATATACATTTGTATATATTATACAAACTTAGTGTATGTAATTTTAAAGAATAATATATTATTGCAACATATAAAGGAGGCTTTGAAAAATGTGTACGAACAAATATTTTATTTTCGTAATCGTATATAGTGCGCATCGGTAATAATAAACAAAGACCATGCGTCGACAACGATCGCTCGCGTTCGTTGGTAGGCCGCAGTCTCATACTGAGTCATAACGAATGAGTTTTCCCGCAAAAAATTGAAGTCAAAGAATCTTACGTTCCATTTTCCTCATACATATAGAGCCTCAAAAGTCTTAACCTTTTTGGCAGTTATTATTAAGTAACCAAACAGACACGACATTAGTCATGGTAATTAAATATGTTTCCTGATTAACTGAAGGGCCTGAGCACTGCTTTAAGGTTCCCGGGGGCTGCGTTATTTTTAATTTCCCTGTCGTAAGATTTGCGACTGACATTCCGGGGTAAAAAAGATTTAATGGCGCAAAAGGGGTTGGGCTAAGTGATGTACTTTGAGGTTATTACTGCAAATATTAATAGGTTTTGTCGTTATTAATTAATCGGTCGAAAGCATTTTTGGAGTTAATTTCCGCTTCTTTGTCGATGATGACGGTAATTGATTGAGTTTCATAGAATTAACTCGTCTATTTAAAGCGTATTTAGGTACTTGCGTACGAAGATAATAAAAAGATTGAATATATAAAAAGATTGTAATTGAAAGAAATTTTGATGACGCCACTGTGTTCTTATATAATGATATGATAATTTTAAAACTTTTCTATATATCGTCAACACCATTAGGTGTCCTTGACTTTAAAAATACGTACGTAAGAGCCGGACAAAATGACGAAACTATCTACTGTACAATCAAATACCGAGTTCATAAAAGCATGTATTGTTGTTAGTAATTTATTTTCATATTACTTAAACATAACAGTATTCTTGTAATTATAGCGTCCACAAATGAAAAGAAGCTAATTTTCTTTAATGGATTTAAACTATAATGTACTGAAAGGAAAGTTGAAGACAGATTGCAGAAATATGTATACCGTAATATTCTCTTATTTTTTTGTATGTATATGCATGGATGTCTTTTTGATATTTAATCATGATAGAATATGAAGAGTATGTCGATAAAGTCAACATACCTACCATACTCTTCTTTATTTAAGTCAAATTAATGGTTCTCCACGGCCATGCAAATGAAGTCGCAAGGAAAAATAGTTTTTCCTAGTAGTAAGTATATAAAAAAATAAATGAAACAAGAACAGTTTAAATAGAAACGAACACTCAATTCCACTAGCTGCAAAAGAAAAAAGGTCCAGAAAAATTTCAATGTGAATAAAGATTGTTTTCCCGCCGTCAAAGGAAGTCGTGATGATAAAAAAAAAACAAAAGAACAAAGGAGTTCACGGCGTACAGCCTTAGTTTTGTTTTATTGTTTGAGTTTCCACTAGAAGTATAAACTTAAGTACAAGGTGTTATTGTACAAGTTTAATTAGGACAAGAAGGTCGGATAATTTCTTAAAGCCTATTTACCTTCTCGAAGGGTCGCGAGGGGCGCGGAGAGGGAGGATATTTAATCATGGCAGCCCCGCTGGACTATAAATCCAACTCGTCAATGACGGCAGTGTATTAAATTATTTTGCCCGCAAGTTTGGGAGACTTTTAGTGTAGCACAGATGGGACTTCAGTCGTTAGTTTATTAATAAATTAAACAACCAATTTGGTGCATGTTTCAATCTTGTTAAAGTGTTTTTCTGAAAGTTTTATACGGCATAAGTTTGGGAATGTTCTCTGTTTGACATAAAGAAGATTTTGGTATTACGTCAAGGTAAAATATGTAAGCCTTCCTTAATACAAAAGTATATAAAATACCCTTCCTTATCTAGTACAACATTGCATACATACTTACATTACATTGCAAAGTTCAATAGAGTATAAAACTAGGATTTGTACCTTATACAGCATCTAAATATAATCCTGGTTAGCAGTTATTCTCAACTGATTATACCTGTAACAAACAAATAAGAAAATGAGTTTTGAAAGATAAAAAATTATAAGTGAAATTGATAAATAAAGTCTAAGTATAATATTACCAAAATCAAATTTTAAAGCTCTTTTGTGTTGACATTTCATTTTATACTCTTCAGATCATTACAAAGAATTTAATTTCCGGCAGCAATAAGTTCAATTCAGAACCAGGGGTCCTACTATGAGCCTAACGAAATATCACTTGTTTTGAATTTATTGCAGACATAAGCAATAAGTCCTATTAAACTGTAATTAAATGTAAAAACACTACATCATACATATGCTCAAAACCTAAATTTAAATTAATTATAATTGTCTTTTGTTCAACTTTTCCAAATTTTACTTTTTATAGAAATTTATAATAAAACTTTTTCTATATACACTAACGTTATATACTATATTTTTTTACATAGTTTACGTTTAGTAATGTCAATGTTATTGTATTTGAAAATAAACATATTCAGTGTCTTTGTCCTTTGTCAAAACCTTTATTACTTTTGAAGTATATATTATTTTATTGAACCTCTATGACATGACATCACTGTTCTACAACAAATTTGATCGAGAAAAACGGAAATAATTCGATATAAGCCTGGAATATGTTTAATCGTGTTTGTGAGCCAATTACAAGAGACTATACTTAAGAATCCATCTCATTTTAGCTACGGAAGGTATAAAAAAAAACATCAGGTCAAAAAACCTTCATTTATTCACGCAAAATTACTAACACGATTTTTTTCACAAATTTTGGTTTTATTTATCATAGCGACAATGAAAATTACTGAAATCCAACTAAAAAAATTACAGGAAATAGTGATTTTTATTAAACTTTATTTTTTACTTAATTTTTTTTGTTGTTGTAGTTTAATATAATAAAACTTTTATTTAAATATTTATGAGTGGTTTTTAATGATATTTAGTAGAATATGTGTTTCACTCAAAAGTCTGCTGCATATATTGCGTGTTATATACCAATATTCCACGGAAATATTGGTATGCAATATTCCCATGGAAATTTTCATTGGATTCAAAACAAAATATACTTAACGCAATTTAGTAATATCGATTGAAGTCGTATTTCATTGTTAATATTATTGATATTTTTACAAATATTTTTTAAATATTTATTGTCCGTGTTATATAAAAATATGAGTTTCCAAATATAATATTAGGAAGATTTATGTATTTAATGGAAGTAACATAAGTAACAGCGTGAAAATACGTAGAAGTCACTTTATATGTATTTTGCTTATCCTGCCATTGAGAAATTAAAGGAATTTTATTTTTTTTTACTAATAATCCGAAAGAAAATATCGTTGGATTAATTCATATATTAAAAAAGAAATATATGATACCCTCATAATAATAAAAAAACAGTTGTTATGTTTTAATGTTTGATCTCCATACTGAAAGTTGCTATTTGTATCAGGCTAGCAGCACATAGTTTATTTCATTGCCCTTGCTAATCATTTCTTATAGTATGTCTTTTTTTAAGTTATTTATTTAAAATAGTTTTTGATCGCTTCATTTTCATCTACTATTTTGTCACTAGTTGTTTTATCAACTGATTTGTTGATTTTTTTCTAGTTTTATCATTGCTTTAATGCAAATGCAATTGTCTTTATCCACCCGTATTAGCAACTCAATTTTACAACGACTTTTGAATCGCATTTGAGACCTCGTGGTAAGACCCTGAACAGAATAGAATGATCTGTCGTTCGTATGAAATCAAGCGAGAGGCAATCAAAATAATAATAACTGTAGCAGGTGGGGCCGCTAATATATATTGATCTTTACATTTCTATTAAAATCCTGGTTTTCCTATTAGTATAGGAGGTATGAGAGCTCTACTTTAAGTGGTCGGATTGGAGCATTGAACAGCTTAGATTGCGTCGTATTTCACAGAATATTTTAAATTTTAATAATAAATTATATTATTTACTTCATGATTTTTAATAAAATATGTAAAAATATAGATATGCGTGGATCATAATAATATAAAAAATTTAAATATATATGCCTTTTTGAAATAGGTAAGATTTTAATAACATTGTCTTCATAATTTGCTAAAAGATTCTAAAACAAATGATCAGACTGTGAAAAAATGGCTACTTTAAATCGACATTTTCCCCACAACCTTGTACCTAACGGTCATTTCCCTGAAGGCGAATTTAACGAACCATTTCATCCATTTAAACTTAATAAAGTATCGGAAAGCATCCTTATTAAATTATATAAAAAACTCCTGACGTTGAAAAAATACGGCCCCTTACTTACTTAGGAGACTCCCACGAGAAAATAATATAGCTCGGGCGAGATTCACCATGTTTAAAATTCGGTTTATTTTGCCATTAAGCTGTTTGACGAGATATAAATTATGAATTCACTCAAATTGTTTTGATGAGATTTTCATTCAGTTTAGGATGAAAATTATTATTTACGACGTATATATTGCAGTGAACTGGTTAAGATAGCTATTAATAGTGTTTTTATAATATCATATTTATAGCATTAAGTAACGGTATTTGCAACAGCAGGTGGTCCAGGTATCAAAGTAAACAAAATACACGAACACAGCTTTTTATAAAATTAATTTTGTACAGTATTCATTCAATATTAGAAAACTGGTATAAGCACCATCTATTTAGAGTGTAAACCAAAATACTCAAAATTTATTCACGAGTTTACGTAAATAGAAGTAACATAATAACATAATGACTAATTTACATTTGATGTAACTCTGTATGGTACAAAACACGATATATATAAATAAGATGAAAATAGAGAGAGATAGAAATCTATAATTTTATTATATAGAGGAAAGAATTGATTGGTTTCTGTTGACGTGAATCTACTAGAGTAATTTTAAAAATACTTTTATCCATGAGAAGCTACCTCGTGAACACAAGTTTTGAGACAAACCTTTTTTACTTACTGAAAAAATAAAATAAAAAATATAACTGGCTGTTATTTTTCTTTTTTTACCGATTTTGAATTTGGAATGTTAACTTATAGTTTATGGTATCGAAATTCAGTGATGGAGGGAACAAAACAATTACGTTCAACTGTCATTTCGCTATTTAAGGCGGGAAAAACACCGATGCAGATTTTCCGCGACCTGAAAAGTTTTCCTGTAAGTTGTAACTTCGTCTATTACACAATACATCGGTACAAAGAGACAAGTTCTCTATAAGATCGTCAAAGGAGTGATCGGACACGTTTCAGTGAACAAAATATTGAAATATGATCTTAAGGTAAGAGCCTATAGCCGTAGAAAAGTTCACTTTTTTGAATGATCGTTTTCGTAAGTTACGACGCGAACGTTGTCCATTGCTGCTGAGGAGACATGATGCCATGAAGATACTCAACCGTCAAAATAATAAAGTGTACGCTAAAAGTAGCAAGGATGTCCCAGCATCTACACGGATGTCTTGCGCACTCATCATTCGGCTAGTGTGACGGTATGGTACGAGTACAACCCGATGGATTATTCTTTATGGACTGAATTAAAGCTCAGGGCCTGCCGAAAGTCCCACCCAAACTCGGGAGTCACTGATTGAACCCTTGTTCGAACAAAGCAAAGCGAATTCCGCTAGAAAAGACTCGTGCCGACATTGATGATTGGCCAAATCGTCTAAGGGCCTGTATTAAAAACAAGGGCGGTTATTTTGAATAAAATATAAATTTTATTGTTGATTATTATCTATTTAATGGTTACTAAAAATTTTAGAAATAAAAATTAATTATTAAAAAAGTGATGCAACTTTTATTATGTCTCAAAACTTATGAACACACGCGGTATATTATGCGCGGGTGCCATAGGCTATAATTTATGCGTGCGAAGATATAGAAAATAGTTTGTTTATGATTTTAAAAACCACCAAACAATGATACTTGATTTATACTGTGGGGGTTAAATGAACAACTTTTTTTTAATGAGTGAAGGTGTAAAAAAAGTAATTTATGAAATTAGTCAATATTGATACATATAAATTAATTTTCTAATTTTTTAATGCATGACATGAAATTGTTGATTATGAGTGACTTCCACGATTTAATTAGTGGCACCCTTTGCTGTCCGTCTGTCACAATTACACAACCCTTTCGCGTTGTGTGTGATGAATTCATTAGGGATTGAGGTTACCTTTTAACGCAAAATGCCGCGTTATACATTTGAGATATTAAATTGAAGGATAATTTATTGTGAATGTTGAAAATGTACAAGCATTTGTACATTTTCAACATTCATTTTTCAACATTGGATTGGACACGTGGGAAAGATGTAGAAGTCGGAGGAAGGAAAGGATCAATTTGATAGCGTGTTAGCTGAATGAATGGATTATTAAAATTGGAAATTTGCTGATGAAAAACCCCGCAATGAGTTTCAAGCCTATTTCAACTGCGCATTTAGCAATCACAATTGCTCAGCATATATTTTTGTTTACCGACAGTATTTCATAAGCAACATTCATGACCAATCCCCAAATGCGATCCCCTAATTAATGTCTATATAGGTAGCTAATTATGCCTTCAATTTGTACTCGCAATCGACGGTAGGGAATATTTCAAAGCGACATTGCCCGCCCCTTATCTTCATGAAAAACATCAAAGGACGTTTTTTATTTAAAAGATAATACCTAATATTCGTTATTTCTTTCATATCAAATAATAAGCGCGTAATTACATTTGAAGCTTTTTCCAATTTATTAATGGATATTTATAGAATAATTGTGTAGTTCAATTGCGCAGTGGTTGGCGCGCTCTGTCTGTGATACGGTTATTAAGCAACTTTCGTAATGGCTGGTCATAGGATGGGTGACCAAAAACTTACTATCTTAAGCTCCTCTGTGCTTCAGAAGGCACGTTAAGCAGTTGGTCCCTGCTGCGTCTGCAGACGTTAATACTCTTCAATACGCACTGACCCGCGTGGTGCGTCATGGTCCATTCTCCCTATTCGATTTGATTCATCTATAAGGAAGG